GAAAAATAGGTGGTCCATTTTTGGACCACCGGTCCTCAAAGGGTTAAGCTGACGTGCCTGGTTTTATTATTTATAACTAAACTCGAAAAAAAGATAGATCCCACTTAAAAACGCTAAACTGACTTGTTCTTTCGAGGTTGAAACTAAAAAAGAAACTCTAATACCTAATATGTTAAGGCGCGGCCGCCCGACGGACATTTTACTCAGAGAGGCGGGTGCGGGGCGACCGCCGGCGGACATATTACCTAGAGAGGCGGACGCGGAGCGGCCTCCAAGCGGACATATTATCTGAAGCGGCGGGGGCGGAGCGGACGTCCCTAAAAATTTTTTTCGGCGGTGCGGCCGCCCAAAAACCGCGCCATGTTTGACATTAGGGCGGGGCGGTCCGCGCGAGCGGTGCGGACCGTCCTCCGCTCCGCCTCCGCCTCCGCGCGCGCGGTGCACATCTCTGACCCACACCCACAGCCACACCCATACCCTCACTTCCATATGACTTCGAATATTTTTTTAATCTCGAGAAGTCTTTTCAAAATGGTATGTTTCATAAAGTGCGATAATTGAAAATGAATGATGTAATTCCTCTTGAAGATAAATTATTTAAGCTCATCTCTCTAGAGTTTCCTTTTCTCGAAATTTTACATGTATTTAATGATCATCCACGAAAAGATAATCAACATTCATCAACATGAATCATATTTTCTTATCTCATATTTCTTGATCTAATATGGGCACATGTAGATTATGCTGAACTATTTCTTTTGAAAAACAAATATGCGCTTATCTCGTTTGTCAGCTCTCTAAATGGAATATAAAGTACTCATTATGATAACAAATAATTTTACTGGTGATGCAACTCAATTTAAATTTGGTCAATTGAAAAGTCTTGATGTATGTCAATCATTTGTTCGCCCCGAAAATTTTCATCAATACTTTCCTATATTACAAATTGTTTCAATAAAAGAAAATATATGAGGAAAATTAAATATTTTTCATTTGTTCTATACAATAACAAAGAACACAAGAATAGTTATATGATATTTAAGTTTCATTTCAATTTGAAATGTGATGCAAAGCAATTCAAACGTATATGAACAACAAATTGTATGAAGCAAATAGTCATATTTACGATTAAATACAAAATATTTTATTCCGAACATTTTCGTATCAGTTTAGTGAGAAATACTAGATATCGATAGGAATGTTGAACTAGAAAACTAAGTAGACATTATGATATACATTACTATGAGAGATTTTTCACTAGATATCAAATCATTTCTACAGAACATTATTGATTTTTCATTTTAATCAGAGTTCATCCGATTTATCGTTCAGATCAGAAACGATAAAAAAACTTGTCAATGTGTTATGATGTTTATCGAGCGAAAAGCTTTTCAGTCAAAAAAAAAGAGAACCAGCAAAAGTCAGCATAGAGAAAACATATTTGGCGAAGATGCATAGTAACGAAAAGAATATTGGCAAAGAAACAAATTTGCGCATGTGAAAAATGGCGGAAAACAACATCAGAACATAGGGTATGAGTGTAGTGTGTGGATGCGATGGGGAATGAGATCTGACTGTGGGTGTGTCAGTATGAGTGTGGATAAAACGAAGTCCTACAGTCACACTCCAACTGTTTTCAAAAGGAACAATAAAAGTAACTAAAGCCAAAAATCATAGATTGAACCATTTTAGACTGAAATGGTAGAAATATGTGGATACGTTGATATATATGTTATCGTCTACAGATAAAAATGGGAGACATTTTTCTCTTTCAAAGACAACAGACGGCAGTGTCAGCAAGATGAAACATGATATTTAGAACACTGTTGTCGGTGTGAATCCAGATTGATTTATATCTGTGTTTTTTCTTTTTCAGACATTCCGCATTCTTTGAATCATTCTGGAAAATATGTATGTCGTATAAAATTGATAGTTCACTATTACTCTTTTAAAAAAAATTTCATTGGTTGAGAAGTTGCAAAAATAATATTGCAGAGCCTGACATTTTTTAAGACGTTTTGCACCACTTATCATAATTAAAAAAGGCTAAATTCATTGAACGATGTACGTTTTTTTTTCATATAAAAAATGCGAGCTTCTTTTAATATTGTATGAGTAGCTCCTGTAAAGTTTTCTTTCAACAATATCTTTTTCAAATTTGTTACGCATACATTCTGTTAAATTCAAGCAGCCATATCCAATAATGTAATAGTATTGCAAGAAAAGAAAAGCTTACTCCTGTTGTGAATGATTCTGATCGTATTACTATTAAAAACTCTTCAGTTTGAAAATCAAATATGTTGATGCGGTAAATTTATTCAACACTTTCATCAACTAATTATACGCAGGAATTGCTGAATACTTTCTTTAAAAAAAAAATAACTGCCATCTACATAGCACTTTCTCACAAGAAATAACATTTGATTCTGACCAAAAAACGAAACAAATCATTAAAGATAAGATAATACGACGAATGCAAATGCCTCAACAATTAACTAATTGTTCCTGTTTAAATTCTAGTAAATTGTCCTAGATAGAAATATGAATACCTTGAAACCGACTATTTATCGTTCTATTAGATAATAGAACAATATGCTTGTAAGAAAAGAAAAAAGAAAAAGTAATTGTTTCTTGAAAAGAAAAGCAATCTGTAACACATAGAGCTATTCTCAGTAGGAATAAGAATAGAAGTAAATTTTGACAAGAATTCGAAGTTTAGCACACTAGCAAGTAAGAGAATATTATTCAAGAAAAAGCACACAATTAAAATAATGAGGAAATGACTTTTTACTAAAGGTGTAGCTATATTACTATCGATAATTTCAATAGAACCTTAAACATTACAAACACATGCCTATTTACTACATCCCATTTCAAAATAAAAGGCGGATTGGTATTTTTTGAATAAGCTTTGATAGAACCACTGTAGAGAGCTACGAGTTTCACTGTCGAAAAGAGGAGATAAAGACGCACATGAGGGTGTCTTATAGGTTTCTTTAAGATATTTTCTAAATGAGTTTCCTGTAAAAATAACGGAAAATCGATTTCTCTAAAAATAAAAAAAACAAAAAAAAGGTATTTTTTTTTTACAGAAATTGATAGAAAGATCGGCTTAGACTTTCACATAAAATGCCTATAACTACTAAACGGGTAAGCGTAAAAGTCTGGACCTTGCCTAATTTTAAAGATCTTCATTAAGCGGTTTGAATGCATACCTGATTATTGAAAATTGTCTTTAGTCATCTTCCGGAGTATGTTGGTTTTCAAAAACGTCGATTTAAATCCTTGATAAAACTAGGTCCAATTTCTCTGTAATATACAGTTCGATACGTCTTCATCTTCTCTTTTTCACGGTGAAAACTGCAGCACTCTACAGTGGTTCTATCAAAAATTATTCAAAAAATACCTACTCGCTTTTTATTTTGAAATGGACAGTAGTTTCATCGGCGAAGTGAATGTCATAGTTATGAATTGATATCAAGAAGAGTTCTAATTACTTTTTTTTTTTTTTTTTTTTTTTAATAAACAGTAGAAAACATATAGATGATGAACTGACGTTCATCACATTTACGTAGTCTGTAGTTATCTGAAGGATAGCATTATACGCTCAAAATCTTAGGCATTTGACATGCATTTAAGTTAATCGTACAGCAATAAAGAAAGATTCTTCTAGATCAATGACCACCGAAGTTAGTACTGGTATTCAATATCGACATTTATTTATACATTTCATCAGGAATTGGAACCTCTACAATGATGACGATGAATTGAATTTGAGTGCTCAACTATTATCTACACGCGTTTTCATTGTCACTCTTTCGTTAGCACTCTTCATGATTCTCTCATTCACTGCTGCCATCCCTCAAAGTCGTGCAATTACTGTTGATTCACCTTCGGTTAGTGATTTTGAGAACATCACCAATAGGTACCCCAATGCATTTACTTGTCGCTGCTCTCAAATGTCTTTTCCTTATAAACAATTCTTTTCATTCAATCCACAATTTCATCAAGTTTGTTCAAGTGATTTAATAAGTGAAGAATGGATCTCTTCTTTGTTCAATGTGACAACAAGCAATTACTATCCTCTGGACTTTCGTCTAATGGCCTCTGCACAATTTCAAGTTTTATCTGCTCTCTGTCGGATAGTACGTAACATCGTATCTGATGCTGTGAATGAATTTTCTGCGACCATATTTGTTTCACCACGTGCTCTATCACGTACCATCTTTGATACATATACAGACACGCTTGTCGACCAATTCAACAAAACTACTCTTGAGAATTTTCGTACACTCAATGGTTTTATTTCATCCATTATTGATGAAAGTCGTTTCATATCTGCGTTGCGTACAAATTTCTATACTAGAAGTGTGCCTGATAGTGGCAACTATACAACTTTTTCTGGTATCTATCCACAAAAAGTAAATCTGACACAATCTTCATTTATGTCAAATGAAACATGTCGATGTGATCAAACGAGTAATTGTATTTACCCTGCTGGTATCTATAATCAATCAAAAGCCATTATTCCGAATGAAGCATTTTCAAATGATGCATCACTTCTATTTGCTGTACCAGGAGTTCAAGTTGGATGTGTACCTCAAAATGCATTACTTCAATCGACATTAGAATGTTTTTATAATCAATCATGCTTGGATATTGTTATTACATTAACTGGGGCTCTTCGTACTGTTTCTGCACTAAATATTTCGAATTCTATTTCTCGATTTCATCCAACAACAACTATCGGTGATATTTTTGATAATCTAATGCTCGAATCCTGGCAGATTTTTCCTGACTTCGCTGCCTACTTTAAGATTTGTGCACCCGCTGCCTGTTCGTATTCATATATACAACGCTTCTTTTTCATTTACATGATCACAGTCGCAGCCAGTCTCTTTGGTGGACTGAGTGTGGCATTGCATATTGGGTGTTCATTGCTTGTCAAATTCATTTCAAAAATATCTTACCAACAGACTCGAACGCTTACAGCTGATGAAGAACGTGAATCAAGCAGAAGTAAAACTGGTTTCTTCTTCCATAAATTTCTGTTACTTCTCATATTTTTCTCTTCATAGGTTATCGAGATCGTGTATGGAATATGGTTAGGATAGCCTATGAAAAAGTTACTACATTCAATTTGTTCAAAACGGCTTTAACGGATGTTGAGCAAGGTATCTATTCTACTCGAGTCTATATCTTATTTTTGATGGTCGGTGTTTATGTTTTGACCATCTACTCCACTAAAGTAATTGGCTCAAAACAAGTTATCGTTCAAAATCCAAGTATCAACCAATTTGAAGAGCTTAATAAAATGTATTCATCGATTCTATCATGTCCATGTAGTCGTTTGTCAATGCCACGCTCAACGTTCATGCATTATGAAGTACAATTTCATCCATTTTGTACAAGTCGTTTTATTCGTGATGAACTTTGGCTTCAATATTGGACGATGGAATTTCTCAATGGTACTATCGATCCTACTCCATCTTTCTATTGGGCCGATTTTCGCAAGAATGGATTGACTTTCTTAAATTATATTAGAATACTCTGTGAATTCAGTACTGCAACTGTATCTAATGTATTGAATGCATTCGAAGCGGAGAACTATTTCTCTTCTCAACCCATAACAAAACTCGAATTCAATCAACTAACTCATAATTGGACCGATTCTTTCATAGTGCAGGTAAAAAAAGGTATAAAAGATTGCTTAACAATATGCTTTTCGATTCATTAGTTCATTCGAATCGAAAGTCTCATCTACCTTTGCGATGCTCTTTTTTCCTACACTATGAATATCTTTTGATGACGCTTTTCTCGTATAGAATGCAGAAACAGCATCAATAGATAAACGTGAAGAAGCAAAAGAATATTATACTAGCTTTACTGACAGAATTGTATTTCATTATGCTTTTTTTTTATCTAGGTTCACGCTATCTTGTGGAGCAAACTCTATTTTGTGACATACATTTTTATGCAAAATAATTTCGTTTCATTCGATTCATTTAATCCTACAATTACCTCCAAACAGTTCGATAATACATCGAGTTTATATTATGTTCCAGCTGTTATCACTACATCAAGTTTAAGCACATGTTCTTGTGTTACGGACATTTGTTTGCGACTGTTGGGTTTCTATCGCTATTCATCGTCATATGTACAAATGGATTCTGAACCATATGAAACTGTTCCTGGCCTCTTTCTAAGTTGTGAACCATTATTTTTTTTCATATCCACACTGGAATGCTTTTTCAGCGAGTCATGTGTTCAGATGCTGATCCAAAAACGCCTTTATAGTTTTGAAAATTTCTATTTACCAATTGACTTGACTGATTTTACAGCACTTAATGCAGACGATATGATCACTTTTAAACCTAAGGATACGGTCAACGATTTGATTATGGCAGCTTTTATTGATCAACAAATCCAAATGGCTGATTATGAATCTTACTATACTCAATGTCAGCCAGAAATGTGTATTTATACAATTGATCAGAAATTGCATTCAGTTACTCTTGTTAACTCTGTTATTGGATTACTTGGAGGATTGTCTGTTGTACTACGTCTCTTGATTCCATTATTGATCAAAATTATTTATGGAATTTATCGTTTGTGTCTTCACCGAACACGAGGTAAGAAGCTCTATGCTTCAGATATTGAAGTATTTTAAATGATTCTAGGTATTCCTGCACATCGACGACTGATTGCCTATGTTCGAGATAAGTTTTATTTCATAAATGTGTACCAAAATAAACCTGAAATTGAATATCAAATTTTGGTGACACGTATCTATCTTTTTCTATTAGTATTATCTTTCTTAATCATCTCATTTTTCATACGATTTCAACATCGTACATTGCTCTTCACTGTAGAATCACCAAATGAAACTTACTTCTCATTTCTTCATACTCATTATTCTGATAGTTTATCATGTCCTTGTACAGTGGTCTCTATTAATTATAGGGATATTATAGAGAGGTCATATAAAATCCATGAAATCTGTAATGAACAGTCGTTTGCTCCATCTACTCTACTATCTTTTTATTCAACGAGCATATCCTTGGAAGGATCTGATGTGAATTTCATTAGATCTCAAATGGGTGCTCTATTGTTTCGATGTATGAGCAAGTTCTTTAGTTTGAGTCCGCCTTTTAGTGATGATCAGAAAAATTTGATATCAATGGAAGCGATGATCTTACAAACATTTGATGCATTGCTCAACATGTCAATTCCAGGAGAGCTTACGCGTCCTATAGTCTCAATAGATCATATTTATGATTGGATTTCTGATCTGCTTCAAGCTAATCAATTTCAAAACCAACAAATGACAAATTGGAAAATAAAATTTTCAAGCTCAGAAGAAAACTACATTCTTCATACGAGTCCAGTTTCTTTAATGAATGGAACTTGTTTTTGTGCAAGTGGCATGTCGAAGTGTACAAAAACGCCTATCTTTTATGATCAGAACGGTGAATCAACAATATTACCAGGTAGGTTTTTTAATCGAGTGTGTTCTCGTAAGATTCTATCATTTTACAGTCATTTATTGAGGTTTTCAAAAATATTTGCAATGAAAAGAGATTTGAAAGAATTCTACTATTATATATGATGTCTGATAATTTTAGGTCTTGTGGCTGGATGCTCACTCATGAGTGGTCTTTCTCAATCTACGCTCGAGTGTTTCTATGATGATGATTGTGTGGCTAAGCTGAGCGGATTTTTAGATATTTCCTTCACTACACTTAATCGTAGTGCAACGCGATTTTCACCAACGACTCCAATCGGTGTGATTCTAGAAGAGAATTTACTAGAGTCATTGAGTTATTCAGCTAATTATTCTAAATATTTTGAGTTATGTGCTCCATCAACATGTCAATATCATTATACTAAACAAAATACTGTTGTCTACATATTTACAACGCTGCTTGGATTGTACGGTGGATTGACTGCAGTCCTACAAGTTTTGGTCTGGCATTTGTTCCGTCTCTGTCGATGCATTATAGGACGATGTCCACGTTTATTGCGACGTATACAACCACTACCCTAAGTTGGAATGAACTGCTTATAATATTAACAATACTTTATTTTCGATATTGTATGTCTTTTGCTTTTATTCGATTTGCTTAGCATCCAAAATAAACTTGCTTTCGTGCAATAAGAAAACTTATTTTCATATTATATTCCTATTTTATTTAATATTTATTCTACATCATTTAGTTGCTTACTGAATAATAGAAAATGATCAAGAATTTTGGTGGTTTGATGCAACAACTAATCAACTATAGCAATCTTTCTTTAATAAATTTCAATTTCATCTCTGAGAAAACTATGAAATGTATGAACGAAACCTTATTTTCTCGTTTCTCCAATAGAAAGTTTCAAAAACAGCTATTCCAATCGTACCAGTATGATGCATTAATACTTTTCGTGTTTCTCGATCAAATTTTGATGAAAAAAGCCTCGTATGAAATTTATGAACAGCACAACAATCTATATGAAAATAGATATAAAAGAAAAAAAACTAAAGACAAAACTTTTGTTTGTTCATATATAAGGGAGTATCCAAAACACGATATGTATAATAAATTGGAATATTTTTTAATATGTTCAGTGTAACAAGATCTACAGTTGAAAAACACTTCTGACAACGTTGTGTTTCTTGTAATTGACTCTCTCATGAAACTATCTATTAAAAACTACGATTGATAAGTATTTTATCGTGTAAAATATATTTGCTAATGTTAAACTGAGTCGTATGATTTCACATATATGAATTAAAAGATTTGGTTAATACAGAATTTATTGATCTATGTAAAACTTTTAGGTCAGCTATAGTGATATATCTTGCTGGTATAAGATCTTTTTATAAGTAAGCCATTTCGAAAATATCGATCGTATTTTTTCCAGAGAAGAATTTCTAAGTGATAAACGTCATCAAAGGATAAAAGATCTACATTTCTGATGCATTCGACAGTGATCAAAATGTCTTTTCGTTCTTCATATCATTAAGAAACGTACAAAATGAGATGAAAGCATAACCAATCGTTAATCATTCTTAGTATATTCAGTTTAATTCCTTACATAGCGATACTAAATGTATATGTATAAATAAGAAACTTGTGATTGTACAGTTTTATTTCAAAACACAGAAATGAAGACTATGTGTTATGTAAATCTTGAACGATATACATGCTACTTATATTATTCGTCGCTACAACTAGATAGCTTCACTAAACTTCAGTTAGATCAGTTTGAATAATCATAGTATATTAGAAGTTTTCGTATCTAATAAAAGATCTATTCATTGACAACCCATGTAAAAATTTTTTGCGTTCAAACGCGTCCAAAAACGCATTTAGATGCGTTTGAAACACTATCAGTGAGACGCGTCTAGATGCATCTAAAATGAAACATCTGACGCGTCCGAACGCGTTTGGACTTATTTTTGGAAAAAAATTCTCTTGTTCTCGTAGATTTGAACTATGTCACCATCAACATCACATGATGGTCAGCTCATCTCAGAGGCACATTATCAGAATAAGTCTTTTTTTTTAATATTCTGTTGAATGGTGCGGTGATTGAGGCTAGAACAGAAGATCTATAATTACAAATCAGCATACCTAAATCAATCGGCTACATTGGCTCGATATCTTAATATTGCGAAACCTATTTTGATTATTTAAAGTCATTCGATCACTTTACTGTGATCAAATCAAACACATGCGCATAAAAGAATGAATTTAAAAATAAAATTAATAACCCTTTTTAATTCCAAAAGGAATGAACCACGATTGAAACAAATGATTTTAATAAAACATCGAAAAGAAGAAAATTCTATTTTTCAAATTACAATTCTATTGTAAAAACTTTAGCAACTTTTCCAAAAATATCTAACCAGTTAGCTGGAGGAAAAGAAATAATTTTGTGTTAATTTTCCACAAAAAAAATCGCCATAAATAAGAACGCAATAAATTTCTTAATTATGTAAGCACATGATTGAGATTAATTTATAATAAATGAATAGCCTTCTTTTTCTTCTATGTGAAAACTGAATTGTTGATTTATTTCATGTTGATTCTGACTTCAGCCTCTTCAGACAAAAATTAAAACCTTTTTTTTTTAAAAAAATGAAATTCAAAATTTATTTCTTAGCTCTTTTTTAATGCAAATTGAATTTCTTTTGTACAATAACTATTCGAGAAATAATCCTACATGCATTAAAAACGAGATAAATAAATAGGATAGGGAACTGGAATTACGAGGGTTGATTTATTTTAGTTAACGTTTTTATTATTATAGGAAAAGGAAACTGGTCAAATACGAACTACAAGTAGGGTGTACGTGGGTGTGGGTGTGTGGGGTGTGGGTGGGTGTGGGTGTGGGTGTGGGTGTGGATCTTCTATCATATCCACACCCACACACACCCACACCCACACCCTTAAGTAATAAAGAGTAACACTTGTGCTAGTTGATACAGTGACGTTTGGACTTTACATATTACTGATGGACGAATTATTCATCGATACTATTTCTAAAGATGATGTAAAGTAATTGATTACGATATTGCACCAGTTGTTTGATGTATAACTTACTATTTTTAATTGCATATTCTGATCGAAGAACCACTTGATGACGTCTGATGTTGTAGAAATATGCGTTCTGCTTGCAAAGTCTTTCACAATCACATCCCACACAGTAGAAAAATACCCAGTGATTCATTCTTTAAATAGTGACTGCTACTATTAACGACATTTGAACTTTTTTTCCTTTCCTCAGTGTCGTGATATAGTCAACAATTCTCGTGTCTGTAACGTATTCGATTTGTTTGGGTAAGTAAAGTTTTTGTTATTGTCATACAACATGACAGTACAGCTAAAATGAATTTGAGAGTTGATGTCTTTTACTGAAGCACATAACAGTTGTTGATGAAAAACAGTCTTAAAAACTGTCGCCGTGAAGCGTATCTCAGCTGTTATTTCACTGCAGAAAACCATATGTGTAAGCTTGGATTCACTTGCTGAACACCTTTACGCGACTCGCTTCTGGACCATATTGCTACGGAATCTACTTCTAATTAAAATCTTTTATCGACAACATCTCTGATTTCCTGATCGAGTCAAACTATCATATATCTTTTTTCGGGTACAAAATCATTCGATAATCGTAACATCAACTGACATTGCGACTCGCGTGAGGTCACACATAGACTATAAGCTCAATACTTTAAATGATTGATAGTGGAACAATATTACAAGTGACTTATCTGCATTTAAATGATCTGGCGTCTAATTTTTGAATTGATTCTTGATGAAGAGGTCGAATTTGTGTGCCGAACTTGCACTACCGATCAGATTCTTTTGTTTAGCAGTCATTCTCGTTGTCAAAATGAACTTTTTTTCCATTCTTAGCAGAGAATAATAAGGATGTTCGCTAAAATATTTGTTCTCTACCTTTATGTTTGACTACTTTTCTTCATAGATGGCTAACAGTGCAAATAAAACGGTTCGTATTGTATGCATTAGTGATAGGCTTGTATTTATTTGAGCAATAAAAAATATAGAATGAGCAATAATAAAAACATGATTTAGCAATAATTTTTGAGCAATAAAAAATGTTTATTTGAGTAATATTATAATATAAAATGAGCAATATTATGATATTAAATGAGCA